GACCTTGAATATAGCAATGACTAGATAGAACACCGAACACACTCCGTGAAAAAAATAATCGATAAACTGAAATTATGTCGCTCCCCCTCTTCGTGGAGGAACGACACTAAACCCTGCCTAGGCTTCATATCCGAGTCACGGCACCATTATGTCGCTCCCCGTCTTCGTGGAGGAACGACACAGGACCCTGCGCTGTTCTTTTGTCTGCTCAGCCCTTCCCGGGTTTGCTGCTGGTTCTTCCCGGGTTGGCTACCATCCCTTCCACCTCCGTGGAAGGGCGGTTCGCCCTGCCACTTTCCCCACTTCCACAGGGGAGCGGCACACCGCCGGCCGGCTCTCTCGGGGGCTGCACAGGTGTTCCTTCAGATAGATGTTCCTGGTGCATGTTGTCTCTCTCCTCCTTTACAGTCCTCTTCCGCCAATCCCAACTCTGCTACCCACACGCCGAGTACGCTGCTCTCCTCCAATCAGGAGCAGGATCAGCTCCTGGAGGTCATCACTCAAGTTGGCGAGAGGCAGCTGCGTAGAAGTTGTTACTCCTTTCTCAGCGCCATATTGTGGGAGAGCAGATGCATAGAATAAGTCTTAATTCCAGTAACAGTCTAGTCTGAGTTGCTCCCCACAAAATTAGTTAACATTAAAAGCTTATCTGGAATATACTTTCTTTTTTTAAGATTTATGTATTTATTTGAAAGTCACAGTTACACAGAGAGAGGAAAGGCAGAGAGAGAAAGAGAGAGAGAGAGGTCTTCTATCCTCTGGTTCACTTCCAAAGTGGCCGCAATGGCTGGAGCTACGCCGATCCGAAACCAGGAGCCAGGAGCTTCTTCCAGGTCTCCCAAAGGATTTGGGCCATCTTCTGCTGCTTTCCCAGGCCATAGCAGATAGCTGGATTGGAAGCGGGGCAGCTGGGACTCTAACCCACGCCCATATGGGATGCCGGTGCTTCAGGCCAGGATGTTAAACTGCTGCGCCACAGTGCCGACCCTTGGAATATGCTTCAAGAAACAAACCACAGACTGAGAGAAAAGTATTTCCAAAAGACAAATCTGATAAAGACTATTAACTAAAATATATAAAGAGGAACAGGCATTTGGCATATTTTCTTGGAATGCCCATATCCCATATCAGATTACCTGGGCAAGTTCTAGCTCTACTTCCAATTCCAGCTTCCTGCACACTCTGGGAGGCAGCAATTGATGACTCAAGTACTTGGGTCCCTGCCACCCACATGGTACACCTGGATTATGTTTGGGGCTTTAGCCTGGCCCATCCCTGGCTGTAGTGAGCTTTTGGGGAACAAAACAGTGGTTGGAGGATCTCCCCTCCCCCTTCTCTCTTTCAAATAAATAGTTTTTATACACACATAATGTATGTGTACACACAAATTCTTCAAACTCATCAATAAGAAAAACACTCCTATTAACAATGAAACACTGGAACACACACCCTGCAAAATAAGGTATATATACGGCAAGTTAGCATATGAAAAGATGCTCAACATCATGTCATTATGAAGCTGCAAATCGAATCTCAAAATGTCTATTTTACTCAAAGACATTACATTTCAGGTACTCTATTAGTTGCCTCGGATCAGGGAAAACATGGTATTGGTCTTTTTGGGACTGGCTTATTTCACTAAGTATAACAGTTTCCAGTTAGATCCATCTTGTTGCAAAAGACAGGATTTCATTTATTTTAACAGCTTAGTACTCCATAGTGTATATATATACCATAATTTATTTTTTTTAAGGGAAAGGGTTTATTGGGAAAACCCAGCAGACCAGAGAGAAGGGGCGAGGGAGAAGGAGAGTGTAAGAGAGAGAGACAGAGAGGAGAGGAGCAAGCGAGGAGAGGGGGGAGGGGGAGAAGGAGGAGAGAGGGAGAGGGAGGAGAGAGGGGAGTGGGAGAGAAGCCTTTCTTTTTTTTCATAATTTCTTTATCTGGTCAACAGTTGATGGACATCTGGGTTGATTCCTTAAACAAAGTTTTAAAGCATCTTTTTTTTTTGGAAGATTTATTTATTTGAAAGGCAGAGTACAGAGAGAGAGAGAAATCTTCCATCTGCTGGTTCACTCCCCAAGTGGCCACAACTATTAGGGCTGGGCCAGATCTAAGCCAGGAGCCTGGAGCTTCTTCTGGGTCTCCCACAAGGATTCATGGGCTCAGAAGTTGAGCCATCCTCTGCTGCTTTCTCAGGCACATTGGCAAGGAGCTGGATCAGAAGTAGAGCAGCCAAGACTCAAACTGGTGCCCATATGGGATGCCACCATCGCAGGTGGCACTTTGACCCACTATACCACAACACCGGCTCCTGGAACATCTGTTTTAACAAATTTTTATAGTTTGTCCTAAAGATAAAAGAGAACTATATGTTTTCTAAAATCTGAAACTTCTCACAGATAAGCCAGGAAAGAAATCTAGCTGTCCCATATACATTGCTTTGTCATATTGTGTGCCCAAATGGGACTCTGAGAATGGCACATTGAAAAGAATTATTAGGAACAAGGAATCTTTCTCATTAGGAGAAAAAAAAATTGTACTAGTATTCTAAAAGTTCTTGGTAGAAGTATTCCCAAAAGAATTTCTCAGCTGTGGTATTTAGGTACTGTACTGAAGTAACATTAATTTAGATGCATCAAAATTTTATTTATTAAGCAAATGTTTGTGCATACCTATAGTCCTAATTGTTAGAGAGCCAAAAGAAAATCTTACTTCAACCAAAAACATAATAGTAAATCTTTAACCATGTGCTTACTAAGTGCCTCAGATGCATTGTAGTCAAAAATATATCAAGTATCACTATGCTCCTAAATCTGTATATATGATATACATGAAATTTATTTACCTTAAAAGCTAAATAGATTTTTTAAAAATAGCAAAAAAAAAATCATCTCATCAGATAATTCTGTTCCTATTTTTTCCTCCTTTTTTAAGAATATAAAATGTTTTTAAGTATATAAAAAATGTTATATCTTTTAGCCTAGAAATTTCATAATAATCATCTTTGTTCTTTTTCCTCATGCTGTTGCCAGTTACTTTGTTTATAAATCCTATCATTTCTACTTACATCATATTTATTTACTTTGAGTTTTATTACAGAATTCAAGGTACTTTATGTTTCAGTTCCTAATTTTCATTCTACTCTTACCTCTCAAAAGTTCTTATTACAACCAGACAGGTTTATTCACCTTTCAGTGTGTTCTTGACTTTACCTTGCTGTATATGTGTTCAGCCTGTCCCTCAATAAAACATGCCTTAATTCTTTGCTTATTAAAATCTCATCTTTCAAGGATCAATGAATTCTTTGCAGCACTTATATAATTTTAATTTGTGCGTATTTCTATTTTTCTTGATTAAATTGTTGGTTTCTTCAATAGGAGCATTAATACTATAGGCACTATTAGGAACTTCCATATATGCAATCACTCAGCCATGAAAAACAATGATATCCTGTCTTTTGCAACAAAATGGATGCAACTAAACACCATGATGCTTAGTGAAATAAGTCAGACCCCAAACAACAAACATCATAGGCTTTCTCTGATTGGTTGTAGCTAACATAGAGTATAGTTGTCAATAACCCTTGTCTGTACCCCCTGCAGAACAGTGATTTAGCTACCTTTAACTTGTAAAGCTCTTTAGAGGAGCATTCAGCCTGTGATTATAAAGTCAATTGAAAGTACAATATTGCAGACAGTTAAAAAAATAAAAAAAAGGAAGGGTAGGTGGAGGGTGGGAGGGAGGAAAAATATCATTGTATCCTTAGAATTGCACCTGTGACATTCATGAAATCTGTTCTGTATATATTAACAAATTTAAAAGTGAAAAAAAAAGACTTCTAAATTGCTTGGATGTAAATTAGTTATTATGTAGATGAGATGCCATGCAAACTGTTGGTGACTGTTAGGAAATGTCTTTGAATTTTATAAGATACTTCAGTTCTTGATTTTAAACTGGAAGTCCTAAGTAAATCAATATTGGTATTTACATTCAAGGCATAAAGTACTATGTAGGCTAGTAAATATACTTCATCGCTGGAATATGGAAAGGACCATAATTGGTGAAATTGTTCTGATTTTAATGTGATCAAGTGTATTAACTAAATCCATTGGCCATTTCTGACTGCATACCTATCCAAGATCTTTGCAGCTTTTAATACCAGTGAACGCTCTTTCCTTACTGAAGCATTATCCTTGACTTCTGAGGCACTACTTACTCCTAAATTTATTCTTCCCTTAATACTTCTTCCTTCCTTGTTTCTTTTATTTCACTTTTCTTCATAACTCCTTTTTCTTTTTCTATTTCCTCCTTATTTATTTATTTTCTTTGAAAGGCAGAGAGACAGAGAGATCTCCTGTCTACTGATTTATTCATCAAATGCCCACAATAGCTAGGGCAACAGCCAGAGAGAGGGATCATCCATCTGCTGGTTCACTCCTAAGATGACCACATCAGCCAGGGCTGGGCCAGGCCAAAGCCATGAAACAAAAGCTTCATCTGGATCTCCCACACGTGTAGCAGAGGTCCAAACACTTAGACCATCTTCCACTAGTTTTCCTAGGCCATTATCAGGGAGCTGGATCAGAAATGGAAAAGCCAGGACATGAACTGGTACACATATGGAATATTGGCATTGCAGGCAACAGCTTTACCAGTAGCAATACCAGCTCTTGTGAAATTCTTAGCCATTTAAAGAATTAATGCATAGTTTTTAACTGTTTTCTTAAATAAAAGCACTCTCTTTAAAATCTGTCCAATAAGTTGAAAGTCTTTTAAGCAGATATTTTTCTTCAGCCATATCAGTAAGCGATGTTAATCTATACTATGTACATTGTATAACATTGGCTATTAATATATGAATATGTTGTATAAAATATGTATATATTATGCATTTACTATATTATAAAATATATAATTGTATAATTATACATTTGATAAAATATAATTCTTTTATTTTTGTATCTATGTTTATGTAGATAAGTTTTTTTCTGTTTCAGGAGTTATACTCCTTATGATATGGTGTATAACCTGGTCACTCTCAGGCCCTGCAGTGCTTCCTGGTGGAAATTTATTTGGACTGTTAATTGTTTTTTATTGTGCTATAATTGGGGGTAAACTTTTACAACTAATTAGAATACCTTCAGTGCCTCCACTTCCACCTCTTCTTGGTAAGTATATTATTAGATCTCTTTTCTTTGTTACTGACTATCTGTAAATTGTGAAAATCTTCTAGTCTAGCTGTATATTAATTGAGAAATATTTTAATGTAATATGATCTATATAGCTTCTTTATGCATTTACTGTTTGTGTGTGTGTGTGTGTGTGTGAGTGTGTGAAGAGAGAGAGAGAGAGAGAGAGAGAGAGAGAAATCTTCCATGTTCTAGTTCACTGCCTAAACAGCTGCAATAGGAACCTGAGAGAGAGAGAGAGAGAGAGAGAGAAATCTTCCATGTTCTAGTTCACTGCCTAAACAGCTGCAATAGGAACCTGAAACTCCATCTGGGTCTCCCACATGAATGGCAAAGTCCCAGGTACTCAGGCCATCATCCTCTGCTTTCTGTGGTGAATTAGAAGGGAGCTAGATCAGAAGTGCATCAGGTGGGGTTCAAACCAGTATCCATATGGGATGCTGGCATCATAGACAGTGATTTAAATTACTGCATCACAATGCTGGCCCTGAGAGGGCTCTGTTATAGTTGTATTTAATCTCTCCACATACACCCACAGATTTTTTTTCAAAATCTGTTTTTAAAATAATTTGCATATCTTCAATGTATGATTCTTATTGTTTTATAATTTATTAGGATGTTCTTGATTTTAAGTATAATATGGAAAGAGAAAAATTTACAATAAACTGAATTTTCCTATAGATAATCTAACTCAAATACAATTACAAGAATCAAATTTTGTAGAGAGGTCCTATGATTTTTTTTTTTAGTAACCTATTTAGGTATCTCCATAATGTATAATCACAGATACACCATCTGCCTCAACTGTATTATACCAGATTTCTTTTTTTTAAGATTTTGTTTATTTATTTGAGAGGTAGAGTTACAGACAGTGAGAGGAAGAGGAAACAGAGAAAGGTCTTCCATCTGCTGGTTCACTCCCCAGGTGGCCAGAACTATGACAATCCTAAGCCAGGAGTCAGGAGCTTCTTCCAGGTCTCCCATAGCGGTCCAAGGACCCAAGTACTTAGCCATCTTCTGCTGCTTTCCCAGGCCATAGCAAAGAGCTGGATTGGAAGAGGAGCAGCTGGGACTCAAACCGGCACCCATATGGGATGCCAGCTCTGCAGGTGGAGGATTAACTTGCTGTGCCACAGTGTCAGCCCCTATACCATACTTCTTCATCACCTTTGTCCTATAGGTCTTCAGCTGAACAAAGGAAAATTAGTGGAAAAGTTTTTGTGAGCTATGCCTCTTATCTTCTAAGTAATCAATACATCTAAATTATTCAGTGCACAATCAGTAAAGATAATCTCTACATGGTATCTCTAACCCTCTTTCTGTGTCTGTAATACCCACCTAGAAGCAGCTCCTAAGTGTTCATCAAATCTTTTTCCTCCTCTCCAAAATCTTTACATTTGCTGCAGCTTAGACTGTTTCTAGCATTTGAATGTACTATGGGCATAGACTTCTAACGGGTCCATTTCCAGTTTTAGCTCTAATTCACCAGAACATCCCATAGAAAACACAAGACTCAATATATCACTTGCTGCCTAAAACCCACCAGTGCCTTACTAAAGGGGAGGGGAGAGTTCTGTTATCTGGCCATTCCAGCTCATTCTCCCCACTCCTGTCCTTGCCTATTTGTGTTCAGTAATTAGATTTAAATTTTCATTTGAATGTGGTGTTTCTTATCTCCATTCCTTTTTTATTCTATCTCCACTACTGCTATGTAACCTGCCTTTCATCAAAGCAATGAGAGACAGTGTTCTTGAAGAGAAGTAATTAAACATTTTTATTTTCTCGCTTAGAAAAATGAACTAAATCAGACTTACTGTATCTTCTTTCCTTTAAGGGATGTTACTGGCTGGTTTTATCATCAGGAATGTTCCATTCATCAGTAAGCATGTCCAAGTTCATAACACATGGTCTTCAACTTTAAGAAACATTGCGCTTACCATTATCCTTATACGAGCAGGGCTTGGACTTGATGCAAAGGTAGATTTGCAATTATAACTTGATTAAAGTTATTTCAAATATTAGGCAGTGGTGAGAAAAGAAGCAGAATTTTTATTATAGTTGTTCCAATTGGAGTCTGTAAGCAAAACTAGGCTAAAGAATAGACTTTCCAGAAATACTGCACCTTAGTTCTATCTCCAGCCAACATTATTACTGATATGAAGAGAAATTGCTATGAAGGAAGGTCTCTACTTGAAATCATTTTTTTAAGATTTATTCGTTTATTTATTTGAAAGCCAGAGTTACACAGAGAGGGGAGAGACAAGTGAAGAGAGAAAGAGAGAGTGCTTTCATTCGCTTGTTCACTCCCCAGCAACCAGGACTGGGCCAGGCCAAAGCCAGGAGCCAAGAGCTTCATCCTGGTTTCCCACGTGGGTGGCAGGAGCCCAAACACTTGAGCCATCCTCCACTGCTTTTCCCTGGCCATTAGCAGGGAGCTGGATTGGAAATGGAGCAGCCAGGACTCAGAATGGTGTCAATATGGGATGCTGGCATCAGAGGACACAGCCTAACCTGCTATACCACAGCACCAGCCCCGAGATCATCTTTAGTGATTTGCAGATACAGATGTCTCTAATATAGCATATTTATTAGTAGTATACTGTTTTATGGAGAACTTTACAGTTAATTAAGAATTAGTTCCCTCTGTAAGGGGATTTTTTTTTCTTTTTTAGGGAAATTAAGAATTTCAATAATATTTTTGTTTCATTACTACTCCACAAATGTATGATCTTAATTATTTTTGAATAATTGTAAAAGCTAATCTTTTATTTATTTATTTATTTATTTTTATTTTTTGACAGGCAGAGTGGACAGTGAGAGAGAGAGAGACAGAGAGAAAGGTCTTCTTTTTGCCGTTGGTTCACCCTCCAATGGCCGCCACGGCCGGCGCGCCGCAGCCGGTGCACCACACTAATCTGATGGCAGGAGCCAGGTACTTATCCTGGTCTCCCATGGGGTGCAGGGCCCAAGCACCTGGGCTGTCCTCCACTGCACTCCGTGGCCACAGCAGAGAGCTGGCCTGAAAGAGGGGCAACCGGGACAGAATCTGGCGCCCCGACCGGGACTAGAACCCGGTGTGCTGGCGCTGCAAGGCGGAAGATTAGCCTAGTGAGCCGCAGCGCCGGCAAAAACTAATCTTTTGAAAGACTTCCTAAAATATTACAATCTAGGGATCATAATCTATGTGAATTTCAAGATGATTGTTCATGAATGTAAGAGCTAGTCAGATAAGTGCGGCAAATATATGGGTTTAATGGAAATACTATCTCAAAAGTATAAGTAATTAAATCAAGTGATAATTTATTCTGTTCTCCGGTAGAAAATTTGAACCATGAAAGATTGGAAGACTTCTCCCTTTTTAAGTTAATTATGCAGTTTTTAAATGATTTTTCTCTTTTTGACACACTGGTATTTTCTATGTAATAAGTTAACCAGTTTATTTCCAAAATTAACTGATATTATCATTATACCATATATTAGGGAAAGTAGAAGTAATTATTTAATCACAAAGAAATGAATCTTTTTTAATAATTAAAATTTAGGGGCCAGCGTTGTGGCATAGCATTTAAAGCCGCCACCTGCAGTGCTGACATCCCATATGTGCTCGGGTTAAAGTCCCGGCTGCTCCACTTCCTATCTAGCTCTCCACTATGGCCTGAGAAAGCAGCAGAAGATGAACCAAGTCCTTGGGCCCCTGCTCCTGTGTGGGAGACCTGGAGGAAGCGCCCGGTTCCTGGCTTCAGATTGGCCCCACTCTGGCCATTGTGGCCATTTTGGAGAGTGAACTAGCGGATGGAAGACCTCTCTCTTTGCCTCAGCCTCTCTATAACTCTGCCTTTCAGATAAATAAGTAAGTCTTTAAAAAACAAATAAATAAAATGTAATAGTGTTTTATACAATGTGAAACTGTTTGTAATCCAACCCATGGTGAGCTGTTTGAGTATTAGAGCTCTAAGACCAATACAATAGGAACAATCTGGTCAGATGAAATTTAGTTTTAGTAAATTTAGTTTACTCAAAAAAGGCTCTATATTTCATATTTGCTTAAATAATTTTCTTGTTGGTCATTGTAAAATTTATCTAAATGTAACCTTTTTTGTTTCAGGCTTTGAAGCATTTGAAGGGAGTTTGTTTAAGACTGTCCATGGGTCCGTGTATCATGGAAGCCTGTTCAGCTGCTGTCTTTTCCCACTTCATTATGAAACTTCCCTGGGAATGGGGATTTCTATTAGGGTAATTTTTTTCTCATTTTTCCCTATGAAAATATTAAGGATTCTTAGATTAAATTATTGAACTAGTCAAATATTACAGAGACAGACTCTTTGTTAAAGTTCTCTTCACAATGGTAGAAAACCATGGAAATTAATTGATCAAAAGTAGAGCTGTGTCTGAAATCTATCATATCTTTGACAAACCTTCATAGTCCCTAAATGTATAGAGTGAAGTTAATTCACTTCATTGATGTATTCCTTCTCTTCTGTATTGTTACATGGCTGTATATTGTAACCTATCCAGTGGCCTCTTTCTTCTATACTGTTTGTATGAGAGAAAGAGTTTATGTAGAGATAGACACAGAAATAAAACTCTCTCATTTTTAAAAACAAGAAAAGAAATAAAAAATCTTCTCCTAGATTCACTGCTTCATCTGTTTTTGTCTGCTCTACAATTGGTTAATATCCAGATTCCTCAAAATTAACTTTTGCCTCTGCCAGCACCGCAGCTCACTAGGCTAATCCTCTGCTTGTGGCCCCGGCACCCCGGGTTCTAGTCCTGATTGGGGCACTGGTTCTGTCCTGGTTGTTCCTCTTCCAATCCAGCTTTCTGCTGTGGCCTGGGATGGCAGTGAAGGATGGCCCAAGTCCTTGGGCCCTGCACCCGCATGGGAGACCAGGAGGAAGCACCTGGTTCCTGGCTTCGGATTGGTGCAGCCCGCTGGCTGTAGTGGCCATTTGGGGTATGAACCAACGGAAAAAGGAAGACCATTTTCTCTGTCTCTCTCTCTCAATGTCTAACTCTGCCTGTCAAAAAAATAATAACTTTTGCCTCAACTTATCCATTCCAATGAAATTTGCAGCAAAGGTCATCCATTGCATACTTGGTGCCAAATCCAGTGGATTTTTAAAATTAATTTTCATTATAAAATATCTAAAGACATTTTATTTGTTGAAAAATTAGAACTTTAGGCCAGCGCCGCGGCTCACTAGGCTAATCCTCCGCCTTGCGGCGCCAGCACACCGGGTTCTAGTCCCAGTCGGGGCGCCAGATTCTGTCCTGGTTGCCCCTCTTCCAGTCCAGCTCTCTGCTGTGGCCAGGGAGTGCAGTGGAGGATGGCCCAAGTGCTTGGGCCCTGCACCCCATGGGAGACCAGGAGAAGCACCTGGCTCCTGCCGTCGGATCAGCACGGTGCGCTGGCCGCAGCGACCATTGGAGGGTGAACCAATGGCAAAGGAAGACCTTTCTCTCTCTCTCACTGTCCACTCTGCCTGTCCAAAAAAAAAAAAAAAAAAAAGAAAGAAAGAAAGAAAGAAAAATTAGAACTTTAGATAAAAATAAAGTGTCTTTCCTGTATCTTCAAATTCTAGTGCCTATACTCTACCCAAAGTGATGTCATGATTTTCACACTATTGTTCTAAGCCTTTAAAAAGAATTCTATACTTCTAAAATATATCTATAGGCGGGCTGACGCTATGGCGCACTAGGTTAATCCTCCGCCTGCAGCGCCGGCATCCCATATGGGAACTGAGCTCTAGTCCCGGTTGCTCTTCTTCCAGTCCAGCTCTCTGCTGTGGCCCGGGAGTGCAGTGGAGGATGGCCCAAGTCCTTGGGCCCTGCACCCGCATGGGAGACCAGGAGGAAGCACCTGGCTCCTGGCTTCAGGTCAGCGTAGCTCTGGCCATTGCGGCCATTTGGAGGGTGAACCATCGGATGGAAGACCTTTCTCTCTGTCTCTCTCTCTCTCTCTCACTGTCTGTAACTCTACCTGTCAAATAAATAAATAAATATAAATATATATATAATATATATAGGGAACTCAAAGACATTTGTGAAAATTGAATTAAAAGATAAAATTTTTGATGCAAAAAACATTTTGAAATCCATGCATAATTTTTTACTAAAACACATTTTTCTATGAACTTTTTTTTTAAAGGATCTCCTCCAACTTATACGTAAGCACACAGGAAAAAAATGTTATTTCTGCATTTTTATATAAATCATATGAGTGAATGTTTCCCTTACAATTTTCTCTCTTTTTTTATTTATTTTTTGCCAGGCAGAGTTAGACAGTGAGAGAGAGAGAGAGAGACAGAGTTATAGACAGTGAGAGAGACAGAGAGAAAGGTCTTCCTTCTGTTGGTTCACTCCCCAAATGGCCGCTACTGCCGGCACTGCACCAATCCGAAGCCAGGAGCCGGGTACTTCCTCCTGGTATCCCGTGCGGGTGCAGGGACCCAAGCACTTGGGCCATCCTCCGCTGCCCTCCTGGGCCACAGCAGAGAGCTGGACTGGAAGAGGAGCAACCGGGACAGAATCTAGTGCCCCAGCCGGGACTAGAACCTGGGGTGCCGTCGCTGCAGGCAGAGGATTAGCCAAGTGAGCCACAGCGCCGGCCACAATTTTCTCTTTTTACTCATAGCATTCTGAAGATTTATCTTTTTAAAACATGTAGATATTTTAATTGTGTAATATTATAATAAATGACACAACCAGATTTTTATCTACAATGTTATAGCAAATAGCATCTTATTTTTCCATTTTATTCAAATATGAGTTTGTCTATAATAGTTACCAGGATTATTTGCATTTTTAATTTTTATAAATGTTGCCCAGATGCCTTCAACAGATCACATTACACATCACCAACAGAGTTTAAGAGTACTTGTTGTGGCCGGCGCCGTGGCTCACTAGGCTAATCCTCCGCCTTGCGGCGCCGGCACACCGGGGTCTAGTCCCGGTCAGGGCGTCAGATTCTGTCCCGGTTGCTCCTCTTCCAGGCCAGCTCTCTGCTGTGGCCAGGGAGTGCAGTGGAGGATGGCCCAAGTGCTTGGGCCCTGCATCCCATTGGAGACCAGGAGAAGTACCTGGCTCCTGCCATCGGATCAGCATGGTGCGGATCAGCATGGTGCGCCAGCTGCAGCCCAAGTGCTTGGGCCCTGCATCCCATTGGAGACCAGGAGAAGCACCTGGCTCCTGCCATCGGATCAGCATGGTGTGCCGGCTGCAGTGCGCCGGCCGTGGCGGCCATTGGAGGGTGAACCAACGGCAAAGGAAGACCTTTCTCTCTGTCTCTCTCTCTCACTGTCCACTCTGCCTGTCAAAAAAAAAAAGAGTACTTGTTGGCCTTTCAAATCCTTCAAAATTTTTGATATTATCAAATTTTAGGAATTTTTTACATTCTGGTAAATGAAAGATGGTATTTCTTTGTTGTTTTCACTTAGTTTTTTT